ATGGGACTATAACATTGAGAGGAACAGGAACCAAAATACATAAATTCACAGAAAGTGTACTCATTATTTGGGCAAGATCCTATAATGAATTAAGCTATGCTGTTTTCTCTATGTAAAATATACCAACTCTACTGATAATAAGATTTCACGGATTAGAGAAACTAATACTATAAAATGATAATTATGCTTAATTACATACAAGTTGGTATTACAAAAAATCCAGTTTATTTTCTCAAGATCAATAGTGTATTTCTAAGGAATTTTTTGCTTAAGTTCATCAGATTAAGCTCCCTCTATCAATGAATTACATTGATATACATTATAAGGAACATAAACATAATATACATTATAAAGGAATATCATTATTATTACATATAATGTACACTTAAAAAAGAAATACTTGTAATTAAAAGCAAATATAGATTTATATTTATAGATCAGATTAAAAATCAATAAACCATATTACTTACTTGGCTTTAGGGGAGTTATTTTCCTACTTAAACAAGAACATTTTTATGTTTATGTACAACACAAAAATGTTCCTCTGGAACACTGGTTTTCAAACTTTGTATTGAAGAATTCCAGTGTTTTATGAAGGGGTTCTGTGAATATTTTTATTTATTTACATTAAAACTAACAAAATGCAACACATACCACTAAATATTAACACACGTGTTAATTGACACATCACATAATTGATGTTAATTAACACCAGTGTGTTAATTTGTGTCATCAGATTTCGTGCAAACCTTAGAACAAAGTTCTTTGACATATCTGTTTATTGAAGAATATTCTGAGGTTACATGGCAAACTTATAAAAGCTTTATCTGTGTGAATCAACATTTTTCTCAATATTATACTGTGCAATCAATAATATAAAGAAAAAGATTGGATGCTGATATAAGACTGTATTAACTATGGCCACAATATAAAACGTTTCTGTTCATCAACATGGCTTCATGATCCTCACTATCAGCGGTGTGAGTGAATATGAGTGTGTGAGTGTGTGAGTTGAGTATAAGTAACTGATAGTAACTTGAATTCAGAAACTAAAATACTAATACTATTCTTAATCTATTCATATATTGGTATCTACTGATTAAAAAAAGAAAGTTTGAAAACCAATGATCTGGAGGTTCAGGATTCTTTCATGATACCTGAGAGATTTTATTCTGGATTTAGACATTTGAGCTAAACTTTGATGGGAGTCATAAGCCTTAGCCCGGGTTGTCAGGAGTTTCTGCAATTCTTTCATTCTTTTCTTCTGCTCAGTTAGGATCCGATTTCTCTCATCTTCCAACATTTTCTTTTCCTCAAGTGATCTCCTGAGGGCAACAAACTAAGGCTTAATT